CCAACAATGACTGGTTGCGCTTTGTATTTCATATTTTAATTACTAAATGTTTGACCATAAATAAAATCAAAATATACCGTAAGATGCAGCACGAAAAGCTCTACAAGTTACATTCAAAATCTGGTATTTTATATGCGCCCTTTGTTTTCAAAATGAACGAAATTCTAGGTATCCGATGTTTGACACTGCAAAAAGCGTCCCATAGAATTACATACAAAAAGGGGCCATCAGTTTTTAGTCAACCAGTACATTGGCATGATGACTTTACATTCAGCATTCAGATCCATTTCACCAACTCACTTCTTGTATGAAAGTTCATCATCGATACCAAGTATGAACATCCAGTTCGTCGACGCCCTTTGCGCATGAGGATTCATTGTTCTCATCCGCATTAGCATGAGAACCAACCACTCAGGTCCACAACCAGTGACAGTAGTGTAGAATTCGCTAAGTCGAACGAACTTTTCAAGTTCAAAAATAAGTGAGCTCCAAAGTGCGTAAACTCTGATTTAGGAGCTCACTTACGTGTCCACATTTTACCAATAATACGCAGTTCAAGCTTTATGAATTACGATAGTAAGAGAGTATGTAATGCTTAAATAAATGATAATTGTTTAATTAGTACCAGCAAAACTTTTAAAAGGCTATTCAGAGCAGAGATGAGCAGCTCCACTCCTGAAGTGGAGCGGAGCGACTCGTTAGTGACTGGAGCTGAGCTGGATTGAGAAATGGTCGGCGCTGCCCATCTCTGACTGAGAGGTACCAGGGGTAGCTCTTTAAGAACTATTAGAGCCCATTAAGGGTAACTTTCTCAGAGCTATTCGGGAGTCTTAAAGTTAACTTTTTCAGAACTCTAGGAACATTACACTTGTAACTTTATAAGCCATATCTTAACATCGCACATGAGTCTTTTCAAAGGCTACCTTGGCGTCATTTCAATACTTAGGGATCGCCCCAAGGGAGAAGAATCTTGTTCGAACATTATGAGCCATTTTGAGCCAATCCTAGCTACTGTAATCCATTCTGAATCATTCACATGAGGTAAGGATTTTTACAAATAATTCTATATGCATTTTGAAGCTGGTTTTTCACCTAAACGAAAGGGTATTTTTCAATAATAACGATTCTGTCTAGAAGTTGACCGAAGGCTTTCGACGGCTAGAAATTCGAGTTTCAACATGGTTTCTCGAGTTTTGTGAACTTGAGAATCTCAATAGGGAAAGCACTCCACTATTGTAAAGGCAAAATATAATCTTCTTTGAACCCTATGAAAAAGGACCCTTGCTAACCCGTAGAACAACCGATAGAACACTATGCTTTACCTTACAATGGCGAAAAAGCTCATGCTTAAATCTGTTTGGCTAGGAGTCTCTTTCTTTCGACCAATCAAACTTCAACAAGGGTCTTTCCCTTCATGGCAAAGGGAAAACATAGTGTTATCTGTGCCGATCGCAGAGCTTTGATAGGGCCTCTTTTGTATGTGGCTTGAACAACACTAACTTTTGGGTTGATAATAAAAAAGCGATCGCTTGCTTTTCATCGAGACCAATCAGATTTCAGCAACGATTTTCTCGACTATGATAAGGACTAAATATGACGCTGTTCAGGGTCTATAAGAGAGGACCTCTCTTAGCCTTCGAATCGGCGCGGAGAACACAATGTTTGATCCTTACAGTAGTGAAAACGCCCCTGCCTAAATCTGATGAGTTGAGAGGAAAAATTCCCAGCCAATCAGATTTCAGCAGGATTTTTCTTTAGTTCAGTACCGACAAAGCATGGTGTTGCTCAGGCTAACCAGAGCGTTAGTATGGATACTTTGCTAAATGGAGCTGACCATAAAATCTTTCGTCCGTAATAGAGAATTAAAAACAGTCAAAATTTCCCAACGCAGCCAGTTGAACTTAAGGCCTCCCCTTTCAATAAAAGTCAATCTTCGTCAGAAATTTCGAAATTAAGACAAATGCATTGGAAGATAGCCCGTCTTCAGATCTTGCATAAATGACAAAAGGGTGTGGGTGTGTGAGCGTGAATGTGGGTGAATGGGTGTGGGTATTGACTTTTCTTTGTTCCCATGCGAACGCACACACCCACATCCACACCCACACCTACACCTACACCCACACCCACACCACACACCACACACCCACACCCGGGGTATAGTCTTGTTCTATTTCAACACATTAGTCACAATCCATCCCAAATAGGAATGAATAGAAAACAGTAATTTGAAAGTGCGTATTTGACATTATTAATATTTCGTCAGATAGAATGAGCAAAGTTCTTCGCTATTTATGAAACTGTTAACAACGGCTGCATCGAACACCACGGTGACGTATGAAGACACCACGATATTCGAACCGGCAGTCACCGCGGCACTCAATACCGTCCTTTATAGTGAAAACACCGCGCTGTCTAAAACTGGTAACTATCGTGGTATTTCGCATGCCAAGTTTCTGTGAGGATAGATGTTCGTATGGAATGTGGTTGTGGATTTAAGTTGTCGATACGAGTTCTCTACAGTCACACTCCCACTCACACCCATACTTATCCACGTCCATGCACGCCCGCACACGAGAAAATAAGTTAAGATGAAAACGAGCACACTGTAAGTGTAGAAATGACCATATTGTATAAGATTTAGTCCATTTTCGCCGAAAAAATTTTTCGCCGAAGACGAATTTCGCCGAAAACAAATTTTCACCGAAAGAAATTCGCCGAAAATAAAGTTCGCCGAATCTATTTTCGCCGAAAGATATTTGTCACCGAAAACAAATGTCAGCTGAATTTAATCATGTATACTTCCATGTCGGTTAAATTGACTACCAAGTCAGATGGTAACCATCTGAGTTGGTAGCCATGTGATTTGGTAGCCAACTGAGTCGGTAGCTATCTGAGTTGGTAGCCATCTGAGGCGGTAGCCATCTGAGTTGGTAGCCAACTGAGTTGGTAACCATCTGAGTTGGTAGCCATCTGAGTTGGTAGCCAACTGACTTGGTAGCCATCTGAGTTGGTCGCCAACTGACTTGGTAGCCATCTGAGTCGGTAACCATGTGAGTTGGTAGCCACCTGAGTTGGTAGCCATCTGACTTGGTAACCCTCTGACCTGGTAACTAACTCGGTTGATTATCATATTAATAAAATTTGTTCATTGGTTAAATAGATACCACCAGAAGAATATTTATTTATCCTAATTTGTACGCAAAAAGACTTGTGGCGTCAGTATAGTGTTTATACTTTGGTAGAGGTTAATAGTTGAGACTTCGTCAGATTAGTCAGAGAAAACAAAGGCTAGTGAAAAAAAAAGACGTTATGTATAAAAACTAGACATCGTTATTTGTTTGAACATATTTATATTTAGTATGGCTAAAGCAGCGTCAATAGATAATTGTGAGATAGAATTTGTTTTGTCAACAAAGAACAAGAAAATTTTACTTTGTAATGGATACAGATATGTTTTAAATCAAGCAACAAAGAATAAAAAATATTGGCGATGTGAAGATGGTAACAATTGTGGAGCCTATGTACATACAACATCTGAAGACATTTACTTGAAACATAACAAAGTTGAACACAACCATCTTCCAGATCCTGATGAAATTTTGATTAATAAATTACTATCGAAGATTCGTTATCGAATTATGAAGGAACATTTATCTGCTGCCTTCATTTATGAATTTGAGGTCGCACGTGCCAATCTTACACAAAGTCAATTGGCTATTATGCCAGCATTCAAAATAATAAGTAAATTCACGTTTTGACATCTTTTTTTTGCATAATCTACATCTGACGTCGGAAAGACAGTTTGAATTTTATTTTGAGCAAACTAATTCAAACTCAGAAGAAAAGAGTACTTGCTTTCTAAAAACTGTAAAAGTGTAGCATATCATGTTAGAGATTGTATAATTATGAAGGTTTTTTTTTTCATAGAGTCTGCATTATATTTGGCACGTGCAAGTACCATTCCAGCAATACCAAAAGCATTTCAATTTGATATACCAATGTGGTATCAACTGAATGCAAATTCAGAACAATATTTACTTGCTGATTGTTATAGTCCGGCATTTGATCGTGTTTTAATTTATTCATCTAATCGACAACTTCAGATTTTATTCGATTCAGAAATTATTTTTTGTGATGGCACATTTGCTTCTTCACCACCACAATTCAAACAAATTTATACTATACATGCGATTTATGAAGAAGAATGTAAATTATTTAAAGTTATCTTTTATTAATTTTTGAAATTTATCTGTTATCTTTAGCATTTCCTTGCATCTTTGCTATGTGTACTCACAAAAATAACGAAACATATGATGCAATCTTAGGAAAATTAAAATCTGCTGCTACACAGATGAACAAAAATTTTACACCTTCTTTAATTATGTCTGATTACGAAAGTGGTTTCGTTGAAGTAATAAAACAAATTGTAAGTTCATTGCAATATCACTATTGACTGTATCTTTAATTGTTGATTTAGTATTCAAATAATACTACTCGACACGTCGGATGTTACTTCCATACGTGTCAGGCTATATATAGAAAAGTGCAAGAAATAGGTTTACAAGTGCCATATAATTCAACAGTTTGGGTACGAACTGTTGTGAGATCTCTTATGGCTCTACCACTATTGTATCAACATTTAGTAAATGACCAATTTGATCAAATTGTTAATGTTGTCGATGAACGTTTAAAAAAAGCGAAGAAGCTCAAAAGAACAACTGATGTTTCAGATCAATGTGAAGCTGCTCGTGAAGAAATTAGGTTATGTGAGATCTTACATGTTTTATTGAATTATTTCGAACAGCATTGGATTAATACAGTTACACCTGCAATGTTTTGTGTTCAAGGGCTCCAACATCGCACCAATAATTTAGCTGAAGGTATGAGTTCTCTTTGATAAAGCTACTATTGTAGAACCCATAATGTATTGATTTCGCTCTCAACTGATTTGATAATAGAAGAATAATTTATTCTTTTAATAGGCTTTCACAACCGATTTTCTCGTAGACTAAATGAAGTTCATGCTAATGTATGGAAAGTAATATCTACATTTATTGACGAAGAATATCATGCATATCAAAAAATGGTTCTGATACGTACAGGTGTTCAAAAAAAAACTAATGCTACAGCTCGACAAATTGCTTATCAAGAGCGTATAAATAAATTATATGTTTTGTATGACAAAAATACAATTAATGCTAGTCAATTATTAGAAGGTTTAACATGTTGCGTTGCAAGAAATATAAGAAACTCGAAAAAGAAAAAAAATTGATTTATATATATATTTATATATATTTAGTTTTATTATTTACAAATGTAGAAATAAATTTATTATTGATTTATGTAAAAATAATTTGGTTTTTGATTTATCTATTCATATTTATAGATTATTATTATATTACCGGCATCTTTTGTTGAAGTTCAGATATATTCCTTGAAAAATTCTAAAATGCCTTTCTATCAACTATTCTATTCCGAAGAAACAAAAAACTGGAGTAAGTCAATAAGATTTCATAGTTGACAAAAAATCTTGTTCTTTAGATGGTTTGTTGGACTATATTAAAAAGAATGTACCAGTATATGTTAATGCTACATATCCTTCTGTAATGAGATCTATTGACATAAGATTAAAAGAATTTGTTGAAACTGTCAATTTACAAGAAGGAGAAAAAATTCAATTTTGTAAAGCTCATGATGTTGATGGAATTCCATCATCGTATGGAAAAATCTACTATGCTGAATGTCGAAATGGTTGTATTCATCTGATGGCAAAAATAATGAAAGGGCAAAAAGCAGGTACAATTCTTTGATACTATTTAAATCGAATATAACATAGTAATTTTCATTTTCTTACGTAGCTGCTGGTGTATTAACAGTCGAAGTCCTATCAGTGGAGCAGGAGGTTTTCAAAGTAACAGCAGCTTTTCTAGAGCAGTTAAAGACTGAAGGAATATATTTTCCTTATATTTCACTATGGAACAAATTACGGAATTTATATGATATTCCTCGAAAGCGTGTAAGGCACGTTGTTAAGTTGGTGAAAGAGCACGTTTTCATATCAAAACAACATCTGGTTGAAATAGATTATGACTTTACAACATTATCGTAAGAACAATTATTTCTTAGACTGATTGATTAGACGAATATGTTATAATATAACATCTTGATTTTATAGGAATAACGAAAATACTATAGTCGAAGCTGATGAACAACATCAAGATGATTATCAAAACATAACAACAACTTCTGAATTTGTGTCGTCTAATGAGGAATCACCAATCAAAGGTACTTTGACCAGCTCTGTAATGGATAGGTACGTTTGTTAAACTTTGCAAAGCTTACTTATGAAGGACTCGCTTCTTTTATCTTCAAATAGCAGTATTCTTGATGAAAGAGTTTCTAATATTTTCTAGTGATGATAATGATTTTCAACAATCAACAGTTTCACAAGATGCTATAGCGAATGCTCAAAATATCGATTTCTTTTTTCAATCTACAAATACAAGGTACTTTGCAATACAAATCTATTGCACAAACTATCGTATTTTTATTTTACGCTGGTCTTTAGAAAAACCCAAAAACAAATGGATGATGAAATCAAAAAACAAAAACGTTTAATTTCCCAATTAACAATGTGGAATGAATTTGCACCGAGTAATAGTAAAAGACGTACAAGTACAACTAAACTTACAACTACAATTAGACATAAACGTTCAAAAGAAAGCTAAATATGACTTTCGTTTCGAATTGATCATTGTACATTTTTTTAAATTTTCTTCTTGTTTTCACATATTAGATAAATCCATGAATATATGAAATGAACACATACGCATAAAAACATAAGTAGAGCTCTGTTCCTACATTCACTTTAACTTTTACCAAAAGTGAAGTGCCTATTATTCGTCCATTATCCAAACGCAGCCAACTTGGCAATCATCTGAGTGGGTTACCAAGTCCCATGGCTACCAACTCAGATGGCTGCCAACTCAGACGGTTACCAACTCAGATGGCTACCAACTCGGTTGGCTACCAACTCAGATGGTTACCAACTCAGATGGCTACCAACTCAGTTGGCTACCAAGTCAGGTGGCTACCAACTCAGGTGGCTACCAACTCAGGTGGTTACCAACTCACATGGCTACCAACTCAGATGGTTACCAACTCAATTGGCTGCCAACTCACTTGGCTATCAACTCAGATGGTTACCATCTGACTTGGTAGTCAATTTTACCGACATGGAAGCCATCTCATATGGGAGTTAACTGACTTGGTATGATCGATTAATTTTATCAACGTAATTGTTGTATACATGATTGATTAAATTGAACTTTTATCTGTTTTCGGTGATAGATTCATTCGGCGAATATGGAATCGGCGAACTTTATTTTCGGCGAACTCCATTTTCGGCGAATTTCTTTTCGGCGAAATTCGTCTTCGGCGAAAAATTTTTTCGGCGAAAATGGAATTTACCATTGTATAAACCGATCGAAAACCGCCGGTTGATTACGGATATTTTTTGACCGATAGTTACCCGCGCCTATTTCACATTGAAACTACAGTAAAACAGCAGCGAAACCGATGGTTAACCGTGATTACTCGCCCAGTTAACCGAAATAGTGACTGTAACAAGCGGCAAACCTATTATTATCCGGTTAATTGGGTGCATAACCGTGGTTAATCGTCAGTATCTTATGCTGTATCACTACAGTTTCTATGGAAAATTATCGCAGATTAACTGTAGATCAAAAAAAATAACCGGAATTAACTAATGGTTTTCGATCGGTTTGTACAATATGGTCAGTGATGTTCAAGACTGATTGTACATTTAACAGATAACTTTTCTTTTTGGATATCCTACGAGAAGTTCAAGGTAGTTTGATATGTTTTTCCACAACATCTTGCCTATACTTCATGTTTTATTTTCGCATAGTATCAGAACTGTTCTTCATGAACCTGCTGTGCTAAATAAAAGGTTTAAAAATGATGCTCTTTACTTGGCTCAAAATTGATCGCATAGTTCATACAAAAGTCAATATCTATTACACTGTATAAGAAGTGCATCGTACGATAGTGTAGTGTATTGACAATAATTATTATTATTGTTACATTTATTTCATTTCTTATCTGTTGGTGTTAGTCTACTGATGAATCATGATTTACATATATGTATAATTCTATACATATATTTATGTGTTCTTTTTCCTTTATGTTGTGATCATTCTAATTGCGTATATAACAATATTTCTATTGTTATATTTCTTTTGTTTCTTTTTCGTATTCTGCATTCCATTTGTATGAGTCATCACAACATATAGATCTCTCTATATATATGCTTGTCTTTTCTTAAAAAGATGATAACTTTTGTTCGTTTCGTTTCATCTAACTTGTTAGTTGTTTCTGTTCTTCAAGTCAATAAAACAAGTTATTGACCTTGATCTTTATTGTATTACGCAATTGATAATACAATACATTTTCTGGCTTTTACGTATACCCTGAATACGTGACAGATAGGAAAAAGACAAGCATATTACAAAAGTATTGTTATCGTAACAACCAGAAAAACTTTCCAAAACACTGCGAAATGTTTTTTTTCTGCTCTAAGGAAAAAAATGCAGTTTTTTGTCGCGCAATATACATCGATTTTTGTACGCAGTGTACCATCAATTTTGAAGACCATTTTTTGCACGATCATGTCTTCCCCAATTAAATGATACATCGTAATAGTTTCCACTTTATGTTACTCTTCTTATATAAGTATTCAGAAATGAAACGCTATCTATAAGAAATATCATAAAGCAACAAATATGACAAAAAATCGATGATAAAAAACCCTTTCCAGTTATCAATAGGCGCGGTCATAGAGCGACCACGCCGTTCAGCAAAAACATTTTAGGCTCGTGGCCGCCTCTGCCTCGTTTGTTAGGCGCGGTGCATGTCTCTGGAGTGAGCATTCTTACTCGAGATTTCAAGTCTCAATAATGAAATTACGAAAATGCACAGAAAAATTTTTCATTCAAAATGTTTTTTTTTCGAAATCTTCTAAAGATTACTTTACGATTCTTGAATAAAATCTTATAAAATAATATCGAATTTCATATTGGGAAAGACCATCAAATTCAATTGCTAAATCTAAGTCGTTAATTGTTCTGCGAAATAAGTTCACCCAAACTGAAAATGACTAAATATCTTGTTTTAAACTTTTCGATCTATTCGTTAGACTAAATCTGAATAAAACCAAAAATGTTCCAATTAAATAAAAATAAAAATCGATAAAATGTCTTTCATTGATAATTGATTAAAACTTGTCTACTTATTGTTTTGCGTTGTGTAATCAACTTCTATTTATTGATATTGTGTTATTCTATTTGACATGATTGGTAACTTTATTTGAGAAAATTCTTAAGTTAAAAAAAAAGAATAAATTAAAATAATAATGATTGTGTTAAATGTTGCTCAAATTTCATGCTCTCCAATATTATAAGAGTCAACTCTTATTTGATTTGTGTATTTAA